GACTGTTTTCTATTTATAGCTGAATATTATGGAGATATCCATAACTTAATAATCACAATCAGATTAAAATGCATTCTCTGCTGGTTTTCAGTTTTCCAAATTTGGACATTTTTAGACTACTAACATGAAATTACCTTGAAGCACATAAATATTTAAGCAGGGATAGTTTACCTTTTCTGGTGGGTTTATAATAAACAGTTTAACCATCATCTATATACAGGCTGGTTTGTTCTCCATCTAAAGAGACAATCACCTTTTATCCTTTTCCTTTTTTCTTCGTTTCAGGGCTATTAGGAAACTATTCACAAGTGCAACCCCGAACAATACTATGCAGTAATTATGACTAGATGACAAAGAGATGCGAACAATTACCAAGCCCATTTTGAAACCCTACACTAATAAAGTCATTAGATGCTGCCCTTGCCATGAGCCTTCTAAAAGCTTCTGAAGTTACAAGAACACATGGCATTGTTCGTTAGGACAATCGCTGCTGGCAGAATGCAAACCTTGAGTTAAACCATGCTGCAAATTGATCTTGACATTCTGTTAAGACCGCCACTAAAATCAAAAGCAAAGGAGAAAAGGAGAAAATGAGCGGGTGGGATGTAATAATGGAACAGAAGGGTTCCCTCCTCACCTTCTTTCCTCTTCCTCCTCAAAACAAACCATACAGAAAATGACAAACTCGCCTGGTGTTTGAGAACCTTTATTTTTAAAACATTAATTAGACTTTTGACCTGTTTTTATTGACTGGCACTGTATTGCTATTAAAGTAAATTAAATAAAATATTGCAAAATACAATAGAAAACGTTTTCACACTCTTCTGTGAAACCTGTTAAGGATTTAGTGCCTAAAGAACACGTCCAACAGTTTTGCAAGTAACATATACAGAATCCACAGTCACTCCTGAAGAGGCAGTGAGAAATTAACTCTCTGAGTCCAGCTCTCACAGACCCCACACCTGCAATATATTTGCTAAAGGATCAAATAGGATTGGGGAGCTGGAGTAATATGGTCAACTGGTCTTCATCCAGGCATGCATCATTCAGTAGGTTAGTATTAAGGGTCAGCAACTGTGAATATGGCTAATTACTTGATGACGGAAATTGCAGGTGAAGACAACCTGCTGATGAGAATCGCTGTAGTCAATTAACTCTTTCCTAAGCTTGAGCAAAGTGAAAAACTATCATTTGAACATTAAAACTAACAAGTACCTGTCATCAGAGCTGAGAAAAGTTGGCAAGACCTTGAAATACAGCGCCCAAGGGCAATGATACCAAAAGCTCAAAAGCTGCTACAGATGTTCGAGTCCCTGTTTTATAGTTTTGGCATCGCTTTGCTTGGTAAACATTATGTACATTGGAAACCTGTTAATATTATGTATAATCTATGTTTGTAAATGCTGTGTGTACAAACATAAGGGTATGCATGCACATGCAGGTGTATATATATGTCCTAGACGAAAATATATTAATTATATGAATGTATACTAAAGAGTTAACAGGCATGTGCTTGTAGACATGTATACACACACACCTCCCATACACACAACCATTATATTAGAATAATGGTATCTAGTCAACTTTTTGCTATAGTTGCTCATGTCCTGCCTATCTATCTCATAATGTCTCTGGAAACCTGAGGAATCACTTAGCCCATGCAATGGCCCAACACAGTTGGGGGGCTGCTGCAGCCATGCACTGGGACCAAACGGTGGGGCCAGAACTGTTAACACTACTGCTGTCAAACACCACTGCTACTGCCCTGACACTTCCCGTAAGTGTATTTCTGCTGTTTGGAGTGGCATGGTAGCAAATCTTCATAGCAAGCAATGGAAAGCGAACAGGGATTTTTAAGCTCATGATTCACCCCGAATTGGGTGCAATATAACAAGAAAGTAAAAGATATACCTTTTATTCTACTAATGAAGGGATTCATCATTTGCAGCACTTACCCAAAGTAATTGCTCCTTTTCCTACAAACCTTATGTCAGAGACAATTAAAAGCTGTGAAAGCCAAAACAGAACATCCTCTTAACTGTATGAACTAGAGTTCTCCTTCAGTTTGACACAGTAACAGTCCTGAGTGGCTACAGTTAAGAATTTTTTTTAAATTCTAACTCCCCAAGTCATAGCACTTATGCTCTTGCACTACCACTAACAGGTAAACAGCATTTTACTTCTAACCCTACTTACAAAAAAACTCTCTTCACTCTGCTGCAACTGATGTTGAAGAACAAGATTGAGAGAATCCAGCTGACAAGCACTAGTGTACAGTAATGTAGGATTCAAAGCATGTCCCTACATCAGTGTCAGCCAAGAAACATATTAAAAATCAGTAAAAATTACAAGATTTTGGAGCTGGTTTTGTTCTGCAGTGGACTCCTATTTCATTAATGAGAAGGATGGAAACTGCTATGAAGACTGTTTTTGGAACAGACTGACATTCAGAGATGTCAGAGAGGACAGCAAAGAGCAAGAAGAAAATCAGAATATTCAACATTTCTTTTTGCTTATATGAGAAAGTACGCATATCTGTTTGAAATCACATTCACGCCACGCCACAGTACTGAAAACCTGACTTTTACTACTGACATTGAGATGTCCCTTGTGACTGCTGGAAATAAAGTGGGCCTGATTCCTCTGCCTTCCCATCCTGGCTTTCCCACTAATGCAACTGTAACAGCACAAATAAGTTGTTCTTGGGCTACACCAGCCTGCAAAAAGCAGTTCCTTCCCTGCTCTTGCCATTGTCTTCTCACCATTCCAATATAAAGATATGTGCAACCATATTGGTGGGGATACAGAACAGAACAGGCTCCAAGACCACTGTCCTTGTGTCACGCAATGAAGGGCAGTAATTAAACAGAGGTACTGAGAACTTATTTCTGGGAATGCCTACAGTGTGTTGGCACTTTCCAAAGGGAGAAAGAAGCATCATGCCCCCTCTGAAGAAACCACAGTCTAAGGAGCAGGACGTGACCCTAAACACAACTGAGAATTTATTCTAATTTGAGCCAGCGTGCCGTGTTTACCCTTTACTATTTTTTGACCTCACTGTTAATATGACAGTTTCTTTGTTGTTGTTAACAGAAAGCAAGAAATGTAGGCTTAAAAACCCTATCGTACTGCACAATCGGTGACTAGGTTCATTGAGAATAGCTATAAAGCCTTAAACAAGCCCTTTATTTTGTGTTTTAAGAAGTGTCATAAGGAGTTAATAGGACACAGCTGTACAGGCTCTTTCTAATAAGCAGCTTCTGTTGCTTTGGTCACCACAGGTGTCTCTGTAACCTGCAAACTCTTATTACTAGTGTATCAAAGTTGTGCTACTTAATAGATTTCTTTAGTAAAACACAACAAAGCAATTACATGGCTGTTGATCGTCGGTCATAAAAACCTCCTCAAACACAGTTTTTCAAAAGAAACTACACTGCAATTTTTTGTCATTGTAAAATAAAAGAAACTAGAGAATTAAACAGAAAAGCCAACAATAGAACAGCAGGAAGTCAACTGAACTTAGCCACTACAGATGGTTTAGAAATAGTGTTTCCTTCTACACCAACTTGTGGGATAAAAGAAAAGGAGGAGGCTCCTTACTGCCCATGAATGGCAATACCAAAAGACTTAAGCAACTTTCCAGTCTATGTATTTGGTCCCATGAAAGAACCTAGATGTTTCTTTCTCCCCTTTTTTCTAAAAACTTTTTATCTGTTTTTGCAACTGCGTTTTTCCATAATCTTAAACTCTTCCCTAGAATAATTTCAACTAGGAACATAGCTGCTGATTTGTCCAAAGATGAAATGCAAAAGTTCCAAGTGAGGAATTCCAGTGAAACGTAAGTGTAATTTAAAAAGTGTATTAGAAAAAGATTGCTCTGTTCTCCATGCCCACTTTCAGTAAAGAAATATTAACTATAATTTATATATTTAAGGATAGGATGCATGAATACTCTATAAAGATACCAAACGTCTAGCAATCCAAAAGGGAAAGAAACATAAATATGTACTTCCAAGCATTCAATAACCAAGGGATTGTGTAAAAAAGTAAAATAACCTCATCCCAGACCAAATAAGTGTTGCATTTTTTCTTCAAAAGTTGGAACAACACTCATAGTAATATACTCAAGAGATTATTCTGGCAAGCAGTTGTCTTCTGTGTAAATAAAGGTAATGAAATAAGGTCCGGTTAGAAAACCAAATATGTCTGATTTCTACACGCAATAAGTATAATCATAAAATCATTGTTTTCAATAGATTAGTCTAATCAACTGATAAATAACTGAAGGAGAGAGAGGTTTTAATATAAAGATAAGAAAATTTGTTGGTAACACACTAAAGATATAGAAGGAGGTAGAACCTACAGTTTTTTTACTTCTTTACACATCATCAAAATGATCACCTCTCTAAGATATAGGATAGCTTTTATTACATTAAAACCTATCAAAATATACAGACATTACCAAAAGAATGTTCTGTAAGAAACTTGTAGTTCAAAAAAGTTCATACGAATTAAAAGCTTATAATTTTTTTTTGCATAATCTGTTTTTAACATAAATTTATCACACGAATGCTATTTTTTAAATAAGATTTTCATTAAAAACAGTAGTCGTTATCCCAGACAGTTCTAACGCAGTTACACCTACGTACATACAATTAGTGTCACATAATATCATGGCACTTCAATGCAAAACTGTGACCACACGTTCCTAGAAGTATGTTTGCAAAATAAACCCTGCCTCCAAAAAAAAAGAAAATAATTTCTTTAACTATTTTGTCCCACAGAGGAATAAGAAATCACTTTGGAATAAAAAGAAGGAGGGTCCAATTCCCAGTGAGCACCACCCAGCACAGATTCATTGATCAGCTAAGAATGAGCATGAAGTTTTTAGTTCAAATAAATACATGAAGCAACAAAAAATTTGATACACAGAGATGACACAGAGATAAGGGTCTTCCTTGAGAGAAAAGCTGCTCTACTTACAGTCCAAAGAGCCTTACCTTGCTCTGTTTGCTTCTTTTGTCATGTCCCATGCCCAGGTTATGAAGTTCTGACTCAGATAGGAGACAATAGATTCAGCACAGAGCATTTGTGAGCAGAAGACGTTGGTTAGTACACTTTCATCATGGTGGAGGTAGATAGCAAGAAGCTTTCTCTGAAAAGACACGAGGAAAGATCAGTGAAAACTTCCTCAGACTGTTTAGTAATTTTAAATTACTGCTGCAGATTTGTGTGTTAGTATGCCCAATGGTGTTTATTGAGGGTGCTGAGTATCTCAACATGCACACACAGGGAAAAAGAAACAGCAGCTTTCAAGTTAAATGGTCCGTCCCTCCAAACCTCTAAGTCTTCTCAATGCTTCCTAATATTTTATTTTGGGTATCAAAACACAATATATAATATGCTTAGAACATGAAAATAACAACATGTGAATGAAAAACAGAAGCCTTATTAACAGACTTAGCTTAAATTAGTGAACATTTTTGGCTCACTGCCTAATAAAGATAACATGTGGAATAATTCCCTGAGCAAGGAACACACCTCTTGATACAACATCTATGATACAAAACAATTATAAACAACCTTAAAAAAAATGACAGTGTATTGCTATCAACCCTTCTGTAGATGGAAAACAAGCAAGTAACGATACAGCTGCCTACAGTCCCCAAGCCTGCCATGCTCCATGCTGAAGGTTTGGGCAGCTCTCCATCCAGCCATATGATGTGGGGAGGCTCATAGCACATCAGCCTCTCTCTACTTCCTAAGTCGATGTGCAGCTGGTCAAAAGGCTTGTGTGGGCCCAGTTGGCTGCATCTCTCATGGAGCTGAGGAGCTAGGTAGCCGCCCCAGTGTCGCGAATATAAGACGCAAGGGAAGGGATACAGACGACACGGATCAAATCCCGCATTGCGTTTGTGAGTGCTGACGTATCTCATTGTAGTTACCATGTGAGTGAAGACTAGATGTTGAGGATGGTGTTTGTGGTCTCTTGAAACAAAATATTCTGTGCCCTGTTCTTCTGAAACCCTATGCAGTAATATTTGAGCTTCACTGCCAGCAGCGCAGAGCTGTGCTGGGTTCCCATGGCGCTCTCAGAGCAGCTTTGGAAAAGTGTATGTAAAGATAGAAAGCAGACTGAGAAAAACACAGGGAAACTATGAGCTAGTTAAGGACCATGATCCTGTATCTGGTATTCAATGAATTAAAGATACTATTCACAAAACTACAACTTTCCATTCCCCCATACCCGTATATATTACTTACCTTATTTTAAAAACCTACTTGAATATATTTGCTGAGACAATACGGTAAATGCTATTTTTGGACTTTTATTTAAAACCATTCCAAATCTATTCATCAGAAATAACACTGAACACTAGGTGTTGATGTGTATTGATACAGCAAGACATGGGTTGCAATTTTGAGACAAGCTGTCTTTGTAAAAAACCTGTATCAGCTATATGCTGGCTTTGGACAAAACTTAATGACTGTTTATAAAAAGAAGAATACATTTGAACATTAGACTTTGAGAAAGGGATTAGTAATTTGCATTAATGTTTGTCTAATTTAATTTAAATGTTCTTCAGAACCATGTACACATGTGCCAGGAAGGGCCACTAATAAGCCCAACATGCAGAGATCCATATAAGTGCATCCAACAATGTTGACTGAAACTAAACTTGAAAATCCAGGGCACTGATGCACAATATCAAGTAATAAACCAGCATTTCTGTGGTGATATTTAATTTAAAAAGAAGAAAGAGGCAGGGGGAAGATCAGGCACTGTCTGTTTCTGAGGATCAGCCATTCTGCATTTCAAAGCGTCGATCCCTGCAATATCCAGGTTACTGTGCTAGAATCTTGACTATTATATAGCAGTTGTAAGAGAGGGAGGGCAAAGATGTGTTTACTCAGTGATTAGGGCCTTAGAATAAGCCTCTAGCTCCTAGAGAGACAGCTCACCACTTATTCATTTGGACCAATTCACAAAGCCTAGAAAGATTAAACATCCATGCTGAGAAGACAAGCGAATGCAGACGGTGAAAAAGAAATAAAAATTCTTTAAAAACTCTGAGATGACTTCATTATTTTTTCCACAAGGAAACTTTAGGAAAGTGTTTAGTTAGAGAAAAACCCACATTGACCTCTCTCTAAACCCTTAATCTTTCCTTTGTGGTGGCACTGCTTTGTGGTAAGCGGATGGCTTTGCTCTCCTCTTTTCACTGGGAGAGGAGAGAAAAAAAGGCTCTTGAGAAACACTTTTACTTCCAAAGAAACAACCCCATGAAACTGTTAAATATGAGATTCCATACAACAGAATGTTTCAAAATATGTACAGTTTTAGGCTTAAAGATTTAGGGACAAATTTTAGTAAACAAAACAGGCACATACACAATAGATGTTTACACTGAGCTACTTTACAAGTGAATGTAATTTTTGTTGCATCAACAAATCTCACTGTGCAAAGACTAAACTCCATCACATGCAAAAGACTGTACTTGTGTCTGATAATTCATCCAAAATGTTAAGGTCAGGCACAGGCTTACTACTAGGACAGATGAAAAGAGGTAGGCGGGAGGAACTGAAGTGCTGAGACATAATTTTGAAAAATCATAGTGGAAGCCAGGAATATTTTTTTCCTTGGAAAAACACATTATTGCAAAAGGCTCACAGACTGGAGCTTGTTGCTGGTTTCGTGTGGTTTGGTTTTGTTGCTGTTTTGGTTTTTGTTTTTTTCTTTTTTTTTTTTTTTTACTAACCCATAGTCGCATATATTTACAATCAGATTTTTGTTATTTTTATTTCAAGCCTTTGTAAAATCAGAGCAAATTCTAGGACTCTACAATGACTAATACTAGGAATTTTGTAGTTAATACCAATAAAATATGCTTACCAAACTGTTGGACAGTCTTGACTTCCACAAAAGAAGCTTACTAATGAAGCACTATGTCTGTTCTGTGTTGGATTTCTCAAAAATATGATGAGCCAGGGGTTCTATACTTAGCATAAAATTTTAACCGATGGGGAAGAACTTTTACTAGTCCCTGTGATGGCATGGGATACTAAAAAGTCTCTCAGTACTGAATAGCTGACGGACTTCTAAAGGAAGTCTTAGCACTTCAGGAACTTACGCCATCCAGAGATGTATTTTCCATAGTGTGTGGATGCTGAAGACCTGGCAGTCTTACACTGGAATTTTCAGCAGGGGCCTGGATTTACAAACATACTCAGGGAGTCTAAGTCTCATCAATGTCAACAAGACTTAAAGTCCTAAAGGCTCGAACTCTAAGCTCCAGGTTTCATTTTATTTCAGAGGAAAAAGGGACATGAGAAAGAGGCACTAAGTGTCTTTAGCAGACTGGTTATCTAAACACCTTCAAAAATCCAGACCATAAGTATTTTTTTCTGCAAGCTCTGTTGCATTCCCACTGCAGGAGACTCTGTTGGCCTTGCCCCTGCTCCCAAGCCCTACCCTGCTGTGTGTGTGCAAAGCACTGCAGCCCTCTCTTGCCTGGTTTTGATCTGTTGATGGAATATGCCTGGCACATGGCACCCTGGAAGGCAACATGGGCCGCAGATGGACCCAGCGGGGCAGCCCCCGGAGAGGCACAGTCACCCCAGCTGTAGCCTTGCCCCATGAAACCTCTCTGCCCCATCCTTCAAAGTATAGCAGCCTCCTGCCACATACCCAACCAAGAGATCTGACATGCACGTACAGTCCCACACGAGACAAACATATTAAATACCTGTCCTACGTACCAAAATGGCTACGCCATCCATTTGGCCATTTTTTTGCATTTTGGAATTTCAGAAAAGTTAATACACTTTGTATAGAATTAGAAGAAATGAAGGAAAAGTTGGCACCGAGGCAGAAAAAAACACAGATCGTCATGAGGCTGAGAGACCAGACTGATAATCACTGAATAATCAGCCTTCTCAGACAGCTCCTAATAATGTGAATCTGATATCCTCGGAAGAATATGAACTAAAATGAGAGCAGCGATACAGTCATAAGGGTCAGCAAAACCACAGAGCTGAACGGTTATTTTTGAATCCCAGGTTTCCAAGTCCAAGTAACGACAGACAAAAACGTCCTCTGCGTAACACCTGCTAGAGGCACAAATGTTCTTTCAAGCTGAAGGCTCACGAATCAAGATCTTAATTTTTCCTCCAAGTTTAGTGTAGTGAGAGCTAATGCAATAATACATTCTGATCCACCTCCCAAAGGTGATCTTGGAGATGACATGATCAGCCTTCTCGGACACGGCTACTCCACCATGCACAACCCTTTTTTCCCTAAGCAGAATGCAAACCTCTAACACCAAGGTGATACACACCTTTGAGTTTACTCCACTTTGAAAAAGGATGAAATGGAGATTCATAGCAAGCCTACTCTGTGTATTACAAAACAGAAAAAAACCTGCTGAAAAGCATTATCAATAAATTCCTCTTGACCACTCAAAAGAAAGGAGACAGACACCAAAGACAGAAAGACAAGGGGCACTAACTGGTCTCTAGCCTTGGAGATCTGAACTAAACTGTACCCCACAGGTTCCTAAAGTGGGAGTGAAATGATCCCCGTAATCTTCTGATCTGGTCTTTTGTATTATACCTGGCATAAGACATCCCTAAACTAACTCCTAATTTAATCTTTCAGTAATTTTATCTTTCAGTAAAACATCTAGCCTCAAAAACCCATCAGTGATGGAGAATCCATATGAACCACGGTAAGCTGCTCAGACGGCTAACCACTGTCTCAGGTAAAGCTGTGTTTTATTTTAAGCTTGATTTAGTCTACTTTCATCTTCTAAATATTCGATCCTATTATACTGTTGTATCTCAGTTTCAATCAATTGAACTTGCAGTGATATCTTACATAATGCAAAGAATATCCAGTAATTAAAACCAAACTCAAATAAGATCTACAAATCATAGGCTTTGAAAGAGGAGGAAATGTACAGTGTGGCAGACAATAAACTTTAATTATTTAATATCAGGTACAGAGAATACTGAAGAAAGACCCATACCCAGGACTAATCTTTCAGATATGAAAGATGAAGCAGAGTAAAGGGCGCATAGGCACACAGTGAGACTACTACGCTGGTATGTTGTAGTAAAAATTTCTAAACAATAATTATCCACAAGTTCTGAATTAATTTATGAATGAAAGGACAGAACTGCTACAACACACAGATCAGGCAAGTCTGTAAAGAAAATGCAGATGACCAACATGGGACTTAAACTGGAATTTACATACTGAGATCTACCGCAGTGCAGGTGCTTACATCTTCCTAAGAACCCAGAGTTATACTTGTATACCTGTCCTCTACAGTTACAGCCAGACCATGTAAATTAGTATTCATTACTTATGTTTAATCAGAATCTGTAAAGTAGTAATTTCTCCACCAAGGACATTCAGGAAGCTCAACTACAGATGCATTTGCAAAGTACACATAGAATACACAATATGATCAAGCCCCTTACAAAATGTAGGAGTAGCAATTTGCCTTGATTTGAAACGTGCCTGGAGTCAAAGTAAAAGGTGGTGGTGGAGCTGCACTCCTTGACATCGCTCCGCAGTATTTAGGGAATAAGTGGCAAAAAAAAAAAAAAAAGACGACAAAAACTAAACCAAAAAGCCATCCTGCAACTGGGATTCAGAACAACCTCTCTCCTCTGCTCAAGGTAGCATCTAGAAGACAGACTTCAAATTTCTCTTCTGAGACAAGAAGGCTGGAGAGTAGTCAATGCTGTTTCTACAATGTGCTTTAACTGAAATCAGAACAATTATCTACGTGAATCTTTTTTCTGTATTAAGTTCAGCATGAGCTTAATTAGGTGAAATAATAACAAGGGACAGTTTTCTGCGTTGCACAGATAAAATTATACTACAAAGGAATATTCTGCTACCACCAGGAAAAAAAAAAGCAGCTTTTATTTGCACATGACAAATCATGGAAGGAGCATACTTTCTTCTAGGTATTCAGGAAATAAAGTACCCATATATGAGAGGGATGGTGCTGGCACTAAATTGAACCTAAAAGACAGAATTCAAGGAGAAGACAAACATGGTTCATTTTCAGTATGCAGGAATATATATTGAGGTGACAATACCAATCTGTGCTAAGAGAGATGTTTCACATATTTATTAAAAGTCAGCGGACAGAAAGGTTGAGAGAGGAGCAGGAGGTGATCTGACAGAGATATATAAAGATAAGAGCTCCTGAAAAGGTAAAGCAGATGTCTTTATTCTTTCTCATAATAAAAGAGTAGCAACCACATATAAAAATGAAAAGGCAAACAAGCTCCAATAAAAGAAAACACTTTAGTATTATTCAAGTAAATAGCTCAGGGAGATTCAATATAGCGATTAAGATTCTGTTTTAGTAACAATACCACCCTACGTCTGGATAAAACCCCGCTGTTTCAGAACAAAAGGTACCCACAAACTGCTTTCAGTCACAAAGAAACCTTCCCCGAACATCTTGTTTAAAACTGTCCGTTACGAGATTTCTTCCTTGGCATCACGTCTAGCTCTTTCTATGATAGCATGGTCACTTGAGCAAGAGTAAGCTTGTTCTTCATAAACTAATGTGACAGAGAAATACTTCTTTCCAATTGGCACAATAAGTAGGGGAAGACTTTCACAAAATAACAACTTGTTTGTTAATTTAATAAAACTCTGTCTCTCTTTCTCTTCCTGACCCAATTGAAAAAAAAAATTCTTGTGTCATATAAATACATAAATACAATAATAAGCCTTGGAAATGAACACACAATGACGTTACTGGCCGCAGGAGGTAACTGGGGATTTCACTGCCAAGGACAGCAGTCGTTAAAGGCAAAGCTCTATATCTCGGCCATCATAATTTTGTGCTAAAGAGATATACAGGTTTTTAAATAGAGCTACATTTGAGCTCATTCCATCTCTCCTACCTAAAGCTGGCACTATCATGGCAGCAGTTGCTCTGAAGGAAAACAGATATCCATCATGTATGTCAGTCTTAACTACCTAAAGACTCAAAATGAAAAGCTACACAAAACATAGGTAACAGACAAAAATCTAAACTTTTTTTACAAGCTATTTCTTTTTCAACATTTTCTTGAACTATGAATTACCATCCTTTCCAACACCTGAAAAAATAAGACATTAAGATTTAACAGAACAATAACTATTTTCTTAAAAACAAGAAACGTGTTCACAACACATGTTCTGACATAAGCTAATTTTCTTCAAATAACCCAAATTAAAGTATTTCTGCAGAAAAGCTTCAAGTTCATATATAATGGGATTTTTTTTGAGGGGAAAAGTATCCACAATACAGTTTAAAAACATAGCTGATGGCTGTCTCACTAGACCTGAACTGTAGAGTCCATCTTCTGCTCTGGACAGCATTGAGAATTTGTCAAGAAAAGGCTAAGATCTCTGAGCACTCAAGCTGCCAAGTGCTCTCAAATTAAATCAGTTCGAAGCGGTTTTCATTAAGATGGATTGAGTGTGGCATCGTGAGAAACACTCTATCAAATGTAGTGTTTTACTTAGTGATTAAGTATATACCAGTTGATGAAGCTACCCAAATCCTTCGTAATCCCACCACTCCAATAAACATTTAATGAGTATATAAGTTCAAAAAGCCTAGCAGAGGATTTAAACCTTCAATCTTGTTTTTATTTACTCTTGGAACTCAATTTCTCACTTCAAGTGAAGAATGCTGGTGCCTGAAGCTCATCTTGTTGCCCTGGTAAAATTAAGTGCCCTCCATAGTATAAATGAGAAGACAAGACATACAGGTTGCAATTTCTCCTAAGCTTTTTTTCTTGTACTGATACACGTGCTGAATTATTTTATGAAATGCAATTAGAAAAATATAAAATAATGTATTCCTTTCCTCAATTATGAATTCCAGGAGACAGTACTGAAAAAACTTGTTTGTAATGGGAAAACAGCTATAAAAATAAATGGTATTTATATGTTCTCATACCTTTGTTTAGAGTCTGAATGTTACAATAAAAATTATGTCATCCCACAAGGTAGTTGGGAGGGAGAGCTTTCAAAAATTAAGGCAACATTTGGGGAAAAAAAAAAAAAAAAAAAAAAAAAAGACACAAAAGTAACGCTTTCCTAAATATGTAACTTTATCCTGATGTGGATTGGGTCTGAATACATCAAGTATACTAGAAATGTAAGGTGACATGAATTTCAGATGTGCTGTGTAAGTAGTATAAGAAGTACTCTGAGTATTAAAAAACTCAGTAACTGGACTGCAGTAATACCAGATTTATAGGTATAAAAAATATTTATGAATGCTCCTAATGGGCTCTCATCCAGTATCATACTAGTACACTGTCAACCATTTCTGATGAAATGACACGAAGTGGACTTCCTAACTCAAACACTTTTCTTGTTGAATATGATTTCTTTAAAACATGCACCAAGGTGCACTTTAACGAGTCATTACAAATTAATACTTGGCCACTGAATTATTATGTATCTATTTATGCTCTGAAATCTACACAAAGACACAAAAATATTCACTAAACTTAGAGGGTGCACATGTGTTAAGTTATTACAGTGTAGATTCATAACACTGCACGCTTACCACAACAGCCCCTACCATAACATAGCTGTTCCTTCCAATATGAATAGCTACAGGAAGCCAAAACATTCTTCATTTTAAAATTAAAATCTATCAGGACAACAGAAAGTAGATTTAAGCAGCGTGATTTTCTTGTTTGTGTTTCAGCTTTATCTCTGCTTAATTATGCAGGGGTTTGGGTTTCTCCTTAGTGAATCAAGTCACCAAAACTTAAATAAACGATCCCCATTCTAATTTTATTAAAATACTGATTTTAAAACTGCGCATGGAATAATAGAAACTTGAGATGTCTGGTTGGGTGTACAGAAAAACTAAATAACCAAACCTTAGTACTGGAATTTACTTGGCAGATAAAGGCTGTACAAAGGAAAGAAAGCGCACTGTATTGCGGAGACCTTTCAATTTAAATTTACAATTTCATTAGCTGTCCTTCAAAGGAGTTACCAACATGCAACGTTGAACTTGTCACCCGCAAGACTCACAGCAGTGTTATCTGGTGCTAGGACACCAATACTTCAGGAAGAAAAGAGAGGGGGGCAAAAAAAAAAAAAGACTAGTTCTAACGACTGAAGGACTCCAATAAAAACACAGCCTGAATTATTAGAAAGCATGAGTTATTCACTGTAATTTCAACAACAGCTAAGGTAGGTATTTCAGTCAGTCAACCAAATAAGCATAACTCTTCACAAACAATAAAACTGAGATAACTCCAATATGTAATTTACTTTTTTAAAAATAAAGATGAAACGTTCACAGTGATTTCCTTTTCCCCCCATATTAAAGTAGTTTTGATACACACTTACATCTCTAGCTTTCCCATAGAAGGCTTCTTGAAAAGCAGCCTCTAATGATCCAATAAAATAAACAGGATGGCAGTCACCGTATCTATTTGAGATAAAATTTCCAATTAATAAAAAACTTCAAAAATAAGTAATTTCAATATTCTACCTCTTCATACGTTCTGTAAATAGAATGCATTGCCTAAACCTTTGAAAGATGAAGTACTACACCCCTGAAGGACAGAAGTGAAATATTGAGAAGCCATCTGTCACCCAACATTCAAAAGCTCAAAGTAACTACCACCTTACAAATTTCAGCATAAAAACTTTATATTTACATATATAGACATCTTAAGTTCTATATAATTTTTCAATCATAACTTAGTTCCTCTCTTTATTACATTCTTAAAGGTTAATTGAAGGCTATTCTTGTATTACACATTAATGCATCTCATATATATATAAATGAACATTTCATCACAGAGGAGTGAGAACAGAAAGCATATAAACTTTACATTATTTTGCAGTGTATTAATTTGCAGCTTCTACCTGTTTGATGAAACACGGCAACTGTCTAACAATGTATGATTTGGTGGTATAAAGTAAAAAAAAATAAGAAGCATAATTGCTCTATTTTTTAAAAGTAGAGGTTTATCCAATCACTTTGTTATTGTCAAAACTCATATTGCAACTCTGTATATTTTTCAATATTAATCAGTTTCAGCTTTTCTGTTCCTGTATATCCTAGTAAAATTACTATACACAATCAGTCTTTATCATCCTCCCGGACCCTTACATAATTAAGTAATGATATTAATTAGTGGCAAATTAAATAAGGCAAGAATCTGTCACTCTAACTTGGACTGAGAAATAGTTTTATTTCAGAAACAGTTCTAAAAAGTTAAGCTTAAAATAAATCAGATTAGGATGTCTAAATATGCTATGATCCTACAAGAAAATATGCACATATGGTTTATCTTTATTTTCATTATTTACTAAATTTACTTAGTTTGGAACAAGAATTGCACAGTTAATAGGCCAAGCTTACCTTGAAGAAAATTCTGCTGTAAATTGTAATAAGGCCTCTCCTTCATTTGCAGCATTTTCTGGCACTTAAAAAGATGAAAAATATAAATTAAATGTGACCTTACGGAAACATTTCAATATGCGAACTCACTTGCTTCCTAGATTTTTATGTTGACAGCTTATTGAAGTGGTTACCAAGAGACCATATAAATTTCATGAAAGACTATCAACTATGAACCTTTGGAAAGACATGAAAATTCCAGACGCTCTCATTAATATATTCAGGCTTTCCAAACAGTAAAAACCTCAGGTCCAGCGTAATGTGATATATAAATTGTTCACAGTTAACACTCTGGACTTTAACAAATCAAAATGAAAGGACAGGCTTGAAAAGCTTGACCCACTATATTGCCAGTTACTTTTTTTAAAAAACTTCTTATACATGATATTAAAAAATTTTCCATATTACTACAAGTATTTCCTGTCAAAAAACTTTGCCAGTTACTTTTTTTTTTTAAACTTCTTATACATGATATTAAAATATTTTCCATATTATTACAAGTATTTCCTGTCAAAAGACTCCTAAGGTAATAACACTAATGCAAGCCTAAAGTAAATAAAGAGTACACAGAATTGTATATTTTCATAATTCAAGGACAAAAAATCACTGAGAAACTTGTTTAATGTAAGTAATTAAAAATAATCACCACAAGGTGCTGAAGCTAAAATCTGTAGATTTTTTAAAAACAGGGAGATGAAAATCTAGTTATCTACAGGAACATTTGGTTAGAGATCATAATTTCTCCGAGTTTAATTATCATTCTTCAACTACGAGGTAAAACATAATGGTTAAAAACCTTCCTTGATGGTGAGACACTTTCATAGTTTCCAATGACGTTTGCAGTATTTTCATCTGATACATCCATCAGACAGAGCACTCAAATAATTCAAACATTATGTTAGAATACCTTCCTGTTTCTTATTATGCAGGCCCATCATACCTATCTACCTTCGCTACTGCTGTACAATCATCAGTTAATTCTAAATTAACTGTCAAGACTTACTCATTGGCGATTTCCTCAAGGCAGATGATGCTACTCCAAACATTTCTCCATCATCAACTCCAAACTCTGTAGCATCTTCAAAGTCATCTCCATCACTGTCACTAACCATATGAACATCAGTGCATTGCTATATAAAAACAAAAACCAAAATCCACCATAAGCCTCTATTACAGACATCATCTTCAGTGAAATATGAAATACATACATAGTGAAAAACACATTTCTATAAAAACACTTGATATACTGCATTTTATTTACTATTTTATACAGCATCAGACTTTTTTATAAAGAAGACTTATTTTTGAACAGAAGTCTGGTTGACAGAGCAATATTATGTGACAAAATGCATTCTTAAATAACTAAGGAACTGCCTCTGTATACACACAGTTGAAAAAATTTTATCCAAAGTTGATGTTATTTTCCACCTAATGGTACAGCTGGTTTAACTGCATAAGAAAGTGAGAAAAGCCACACAATCTACCAATAATTTTAGACATCCAGATACAATCTACTTTAGCAATACTTGCATGGTGTGGGACAGTCCTTGGTACGGTACCTATCTAGGATACAGGTATCTATCTCTGATCTACCAATTTAGCACCTGCAGTCCTAACTTGGCACATCAGACTACTGCATGTCGAATGATGCAGCCTGATTTATTTGGCATACCAATAAGTGGTTCAGGTATAGCTAGGACAGGATGGTCTGACCATCCTCTGACTTTTAACAACTCTCCAATAGCATGTATCCAGGCTTGCATCCTGACCGCACCTCACAGCTGTGTCCTGCCAACTCAGATGAGCTGAGCAGATTGAAACACATCCTTTTTGCGCAGCAAGATAAAGCTGATGTGCTACAGTTCTCTAAACAAAAGGGTAAGAAAAGTGTTCGGAAAATGGGAAACTGTTTATATTAAATTCATTTTGAGGAAGGACAAGGGCATCGGAAATTTTAACCCCAACTATTAATAGTTTGAAACAACCAAACAGGAGTTTGTACAGTCTGCATAAATCTCTTTCTGCTAATACGAAAAATGTATGTTTCAACCTCCTATTTAGTTTTTCAGTGCTTGCTGTGGCTAGCTTACTTTGTTTTTCATCTTTTTCTTTCACAACTCATTTACCCAGTTCCTTACTGTGTCACAATTACGTGTTACAGGAATTGTGAATTGATTCTTTCAAGATGCAATTCTACTGAGGTATTCTACTGACAACAGAAGGGACGGTGACCATTGCAAAACCAGCTTTCCCTGCTGCTTCTTAGAGTATCCTGGTAAAATAATGATGTTCTTACCTCCTCTGACTGTTCCCTCGTTTGTACCGGTGAAGATCTTCTTCCAACTGTAAGTCGATGGCAAGGAAAAGTCAGTCCCGCTGCAGCTAGAGTCATCTACAAATAAAGCAACGATTCTTTATTAAAGCCATAGCCTCAACTGAAGGTTAGATTTTGCATTTTTTTTTTCTTAGGGTTGCTCTGGGATTCAAACTGAAGACTGCACTGCAGAAGACCAAATTAATTATCCAAACGCAAAGAAGCCTGAAAAACTAAAATGATTCCTTGCACAAAAACATTCTAAGAAACATCAACAGAGTTTTACAGGTGTGTATGCACAGAGTATCAAAACAAACTAAACGGAACTGCAAACTCAAAACTGTCTTGAATTGTTACACTCTCCTAAATCAGTACTGAAGTTTGAACCGTTATTTGTATGTGGTCACTTTCACAGTGGTACGCTTTGATGAAGTAAGTGTGAATTTTTCCTTCCTAATCGATAAGCAAATGTTAAAGTGAAGACGATAGGTACCGATACAACTTATTAAATACAGTTAAGTCATCTTGAAAAAAAGTATTATATTGAAAGAACTGTTTATCAGCAGACATTGTAAAGGCACGATCACAATGACTACTTAAAAAATACGTTTCATCTCCATCTTGGTCACTACTAATGTCAAAGCGCATGCCATGTCTCTCATATGAGCAAGGACACAGGCAAACCCAACAGTGGTGGAGTAGCAGTCAGCAGAGTTGGGATAGATGTTTACTAACCAGTGCCCAGAGAAACAGCACTTTTGCCCGTTGCTGTATGCCTAAAGCTCAACTTTTTAAAACTAGCAAGCCAGCAAATGGAAAAAAGCTAGCGTCATTCGAAAGACAAAATTATTAGATGCCTGCAAACACACAACAATAATATTTGAAGATCTGGTCCTACACTGCATTTAAAAAAAATGAATCCTTGCATTTCAACCACCCTTCACACATTTCTTTACACAGCGTAAGTGTACACCCGGCCAACTGCCCTCTTCTGAAAGGGCTTCAGTCCTGGGCAAGTGGGGTTGATGACCACAAGCAGAATCTTCAGAAGCACCTAAGCCCTACCTTGATAACACGTGGGCTAAATTGACAATGTAAACAGCTCTTAAATAAAGACAGACAATTCATTTTGGCAATGACAAAATATTTGATGCTGTACAATTCTCAGTGACATGGAGGAAGACAGGTCTGGCTGTATATTTAAAATATTTTTTCTAATGGTTTCTTCAGAAGAAACACAGGGCAGAAAAAGATTATCTAGATCCTATCAAAATGATCACTATTTTTGCAGGGCACACAATGAGAGACATGACGTGTTTCAGAAATACAGCATCCTCCTAATTAGACTGTAAAAACATTAAAGTAAAATGAATTTAAATAACTCTTAACAAAAACCAAGAATAAATCATAAGCCTTAAATTTCATTTACTGCCATGAGCACTGAGAATACCCCATTTACTTTTATACATAATTCAGAATGACTTTATCACTTGTCTGCTAGAACTCACAAAGATTTAATTTGCTGCAGGTTGCAGCAGGCTGATTAAGCAGGCTGGTTACCAAATGAATGTTAACCTGTCTGAACTAGCCTACTGTCACATTCTCATAGCGAGGTTAAACAGAAGTTTAGCTGCACAAAAAGCCCAGCTATCGTCTTAAAGGAAGTGAGTAATACTACTCTGGAGCAAATGAAATATTAAAGACGACATACAGGTCAAGACCAATTACCTAAGAAACTCGTGTGACAAGGGCACAAGAACTGTATTCTCTGTAATAATCCACCAGTTCAATTAGTATTTTTATAAGCTTTTAATAATAAACAAAACTCAACTGTTATAAAACCTGAAACTTTGCCCTGTAGTCACCACACTATATAAAATCCCGGTAAAATACACACACACACTAACCACACACAGCCTGAAGTTCCCTATCTAACAGCATCAAATACCCTGACAGATGCCTGGAAAGGCTCCCGATATCTTTTACATACACATTAAAGAAAGAGCGTTAAGATCAAGCAAGCAGTTACGGTGCTGCGTTGGCCCAATAGCAGGGTGTTGCAATTCCAATTTGCAACCCTATATTATAGTGTCAAAGTGTCTCTCAAAAATGAGCTAACAGCAGAAGGGGTTCAGCATTAGAGCACATCTCATCCCACTCCCCAGATGCTTGCTGGAATGTTGGGTTTTTGTGCACATTTGTGTGAGAAATCGCCCTCCTCTTTAGCTTTTTTTTTTTTTTTGAGACATTTTTCGCAAAGGAAAGGCTGGGACAAATAGAAGCTCTGCCTTTCATTTCAATATAATCTAGCAGCATGAACTTTTCTCTAGAATTAAGTTATAGAGTCCTCTCTCAAGAGAGACTCTTCCACCAGAAAGTTCAATCTTTAATTACAAAGACATCAACACTAAGCAAAAGCTTACTTTCCAGGCAGCTCATGGTGCCTGCTTTCGGTGCCACAGACAGCAAACCTCAACTATTTGGAACGCAGGCCAGTTTACTGATGGGAGCACCCGCTGAAATATCTCAGTGGCAAGAACTGTTTAGATGTCAGACTGCTCTTAGGGAGTGTTTTCTTTCTAAATACTGCATTTGCCTACTCCCAAACAGGGCTGCAGCAAATCAGACACACGAGTGGTGGTGTCACAGCTATCTTCCCACGGGAATGGACATCATCTTTTTACCAACTCCAAAACTGAAAATGCTGGTTTGTAACCTGAGTACCTGATGACCCATATTCACAGCTCATGAACCCTTCTGATTGTGCAAAAACTCAACAGTCACTAGCTTTTCAGAGTATTTTCTTCTTCTGCATGAAAATCACTATTAGGTGAGTACTACAGAATCACAGAATGGTTTGGGTTGGAAGGGACCTTAAAGATCATCTAGTTCCAACCCCTCTGCCACAGGCAGGGACACCTTCCACTACCCCAGGTTGCTCAAAGCCTTGGCTTGAATTGGATGGCTTTCACGTGCACAAGAAGAGACACTGAAAAATGCATATGCAGGACTCATGGCACCAACAATGAGCTAGATGGATCATCAAATAACACATTAAAGCAAAAATAACTAGGGTTATTCCATTGTTTCTAGGCAGTAAATGCACACACATGCCAAGTCCCTACTCAGAAGGTTTCACAGCTGAAAGGTACATGAGGTGGAAAGTGAAACAGAATCAGAAATAGGCAAAACAACTCGCAAAAAGCCATTCAAGGCAATTACTGAAAAGCCAGATCTCTTGTCCATCACTGTGTATGGACTAGTCATACTTGTTGGAAGTGTAGAAAGTCTTCCACTGGGCTTCCTACAGCTTCTTAAGGAGAACAATGAAAAAAATTGAAGCCTCAAAACATTCCAGGGAGAGTGGCAGTAGGAGAATCCTTTTAGGAGACAGCACAGATATTAAAACAAACAGATTGCTCCAGGCATGCAAACAGGTAATGGTACGACCTGGACTGAAAGTGCACAAAGGATACTTGAAATAATATTTTAACTACTAAAAGAAAGATTCCTACCAAACTTTACAATCTAGAGAGAAAAGGAATTAGCCTAATGCTCAGTTGTGCTTTCCAGCACAAAGACCCAAAATTTATTTGTATATGTTCAGTGTAAGATGATTTGTATTTCAATTGCCAGCATTAATACTTGGGAGACAAAATCAAGCAACATCTTTTCTAATCCAAATGTGCAGGATTCTTTATCAAGAACCTAGAAATATTTGCCAAATCCGGAGTGAGGCCAGGTGCTTTAAACAATGGATTATTCTTCCTGTTGGAAAGTATCATTTTTATGTAGAAGCTTCTAGACAAAATATTTACAACAATCTAAAAAGACTATTTTTTCCAAATATTTCATAATACAAATACGTCTGCAAGAGGGAAAGAAACCACTGAGAGCATGTAACTCCAGAGTGCTGCCATCACATGCTCAGAATAACAGGAAAAACTATGAGTCCGTAATCTCATGAGCTTGCAATTTTCTAGAAAGAGTTTGTTGGCGCAACTTAATTCCCACTCCTGCAGACTTCGGAAATTACAAAGGAAGGAGCACACTCAGACTCTTGTACCAGTCCAAGGATATTTAATCAAGACACTGAAGATCTGAGAAAGATAAACAGTAGTATGAACACGAAGGAACAATACCAGTGGAGAACCGCAGCTGCAGAACTCTCTCTGCTGAGAAATGCTGATATAAATTTATAAGCTCGGTGTACTGCATCAGGGAAGCAGTAATTGGATATGACGAATAGGTCTTCCTCATGTGCAACCACATGCTGATGGAGAAAAAAAGCACTACAAAAAACCTTCTCATGGCAATCGTATCCAAAGAGGGAAGTATGAAGGCAAGCACTAGGAGCTTGCTAATACCTTACAGAATATAGCTGGACATCCAAAGGGGACAGCTTAAAGCAATAACGTGTAAAGATCTGGACCTTCTTCCTCATCCTTAACTATCACTGTATAAAAAGCCTAGCTATTGTCTACCAGATATATATATATCTGTAGATATGTAATGGACCTGCTTTGGCATGACTTGAGAGGTTGTGCTGTTCGCTTGTCACCAAGGGATTCCTTTTCTCAAAAAGGATGTAGCTATTTTAACACTGTAAACAAGCAAGCATCAGTGAGAGTGTTTAAAGAAAGTAAGAGTACTGATTTATTTTGTGCTTTTTGTTAAGTATCTGATTGCTACAAGAGTAGCGAGTGTTTTGAGGTTTTGGGGCGTGGGGGAGTTTGGCTTGTTTGGTTTGCTTTAATGCACATTACTGCATCTATCTAAACATACAGGCACTTACCACTGTTCCTGATAACCAGGGCAAGTTATCTAATGCAGCCCTTCCACTGTATCAACTGGTAGTTGTCAGTTTTAAAAAACAGCTTTTGTCTGTTTAAAAGACCACTTAAAATGAGAAACAATTTCATTCATAGTAACAGAGAAACTTTATTGCTTGAGCTACTCAGATGAAGAATCTTTCCCAACTCACTGAAGTAATATTTTTCCACAGTAAAATATTTTATTTTCTAAGAGTTTTTGGAACTAAACTACAGATTCTTGATTATTTGCTTGCAAAAATTCAA